TAATTTTATTTATTCTCATTAATAAATAAATCATTATTATTTATACCTATTCTTTTGTTTTATTTAATAAATAAATAATTAAAACGCCTTATGGTTTTTGAAAGCAAATCTTATTTCGTGCACTTACGTACCAGTAATCTGACTAAAGGTTTAGTGAAACTATTTTCGTCTTGTATGTTGTAATGACGGGTTTTTCATGTGTTTTATTTATTGCAATTTAATTTAATAATATTCACGAATGTAATCACCAAAAATTATTGATGTACATTGAATTCAATAACTATGCAAACGCCCATACAAAAATTGGCCATGTCCTTTAATATAAGCATTGCAAACATGCGAAACCGGGGCGGTTCGCTAGCGTTATGTAATAACCTCCTTTTTTAGAAAAAAAAAACGAAAATAAATCAACATAAAAAGAACAATGTAAGTTAAAATTAACAACAACATTACAAAGAAATTGCAACAAAAACAATACGAAAGAAAATAATAAAATTTCAAAGACACAAATAGCTACATGAACGGAAACACTTATCAGTTCGGTTTTCCGTGAAAACTGTACAGTTATTGTACATACAAGTTAGATTTAATGTGCTCATTAAATAGCATGTTTGTTTCACCAACTTAGGAGAAATCACTTGGATTTTTAATACTCATATTTCTTTTATACTGTAAAGTTGGCTGCAGCCTCGATTGCTCCAGAAAAGTAAGTTAAAAATCGTTTAATAATTTATTTTTAAGGATAGAGTTACTATCGTAGACATACTGAATTTATTGACAATAACTACTTACTTACGTTAATTAACTGGGCAAAGCTCGACTAGTTTCAATTCACAACGGGACTCTTATAGCTCTTCAGTTACCGGGGACAGCACGACGTCGCCGCGACGCGCACTGTGCTCATGAATAAGAGTCCCGTTATAATTTGAAACTAGTCGAGCTCTTCTCTTCAGTTTATTCACGTAAGTAAGTCGTTATTTCGATTAAAAATTTAATAAAGTGTGGGAGGGCCATGCCTTGACACGAATAGGTCGGCTTGACCGGAGTTTTTTTTTATTATTTAATAGATCGGCAAACGAGCAGACAAGATTACCTGGTGGTAAGTAATCAGCGCCGCCCATGGACACCCGCAACGGAGCAGTTACGAGTGCGTTGCCGACCTTTTCGGGATTAGGGATTTGGAGAATTAAGGATTGAAATCCTCATCCCTCCGATTGGGGTGGGAAAAGATTGGGCCTCCGGTTACCTCACTCACACGGCGAAACACAACGCTGTGGTTGTTTCACGCCGGTTTTCTGTGAGGCCGTGGTATCACTCCGATCCGATGATAGAATAGCCCCACAGAAAACCGGCGTGTAACAACCACAGCTTTTTTCATACGCCGTGTGAGTGAGAGCCACATGGGGGCCCAATCCTTCCTCTCCCCCAATCCTTAAAACGCCAAAGTAACTCGTCCGTTGTTACGGTCGTCCGTGATCCTGATTGCTTACCATCAGGTAATCGGTCTGTTTGTTAGCCGTCCTATCACATAAAAAAACAAAAATAAGGATTTAAAACATTGTTAGAAATTATTGTTTCATGACAAATGCAGTGCCTTATTGACCAAGATGCGTCATTGGTCGTAAACGTAGTCACGTTATATCCATAAACTTAAGCATATCTATTCCACAACTAATCATTCCTTTTTAATGTCCCGCGTGGCACACAAACCTCTGGATTTAAACAATTCACTGACGTGTTTTTTCAGTATCGTAATTTACATTTGATAGAAGAACTTCTATGGTGATCGTTGCCTGGATTTTCATTATTGTAAAAGTTTGACTTCAGAAAAGGATAATAATTAATTCGTACAACTGTGTCGTATTTAGTTACACTTGTGCAATGGAAATTGAGTGCAAACTGCAAAGGTAAAATGTGGTCTTTAAAATGATTTTGTTTCACTATAGAGACTATAATATGTTTTGCGATTTATGTCGGTGAGCCAAATTATCGTAGAAAAATAATCATTTTGTGTAATCAATTATACCTATTATTGAGAATCATCACTACGTACTTTAAAACAAAGTCGCTTAAATCCTTAAAACAACGCAGTACATTTTGATGCTGATTTTTAAATAGATAGAGTGATTGATAAGCAAGGTTAATATTTTTTATAACATCCATTAAATAGTAGAGAAAATTACGGGGAGTTGACAGGTCGCTAGTAATAAAAAATATAAAGTACAGTCACTCAAGTTACTTGGTCTGCAGTTAAGGAAATAAAAACTTTGTCAGATTATTTAATAAAACTTATAAGTACAAATAAATCCGTTTTCATTATTCGCTTAATAGGCAAAAATTTTGCTACACATATATATCTGTACTAACGCATCTTTAATTTCCATAACTATAAAGAACATAGCAATCAACTGACTCCGCGTTTTATAGAATAGGACAGCAAACGGGCAGATGGATTATCTAAAGTTAAGTTATGCATGTACTTCTGCGACGTCACAGTTAGAGATATGTGCATTGGGTATTTAGATATAGGGGTGGAAGGATCAGGCCTCCAGTAAACTCACTCATACGACGAAACAACGCACGCGATATTTTACGCTGGCTTTCTGTACGTACGTGGACGCACTTCGGTCCAGCCGACTCATTCCTGTAAAGAATCGCCTTCTCACACTTAAAACCTGACTGAATTGGAAAATAGTACCTACTTAAAATAACTGGCTTCGAAATAAAATGGAACATATTGTCAAATACCCATGCAAAATGGTTTGCTTCATACCTACAGAAATTGCAGCCAGACAGCAAAAAAAAAATCTACTTGCTCTATTTTTAATTTTTTATTCTTTATTTGAATTTAAATATTCATTCTTTATTAGAATTTTACTTGCCAACGTCTCTAGCTAGGAACGTAAAATACAAGTTAAATGCAGACTGTCGAGTTGCACCGTATCTAATCAGCGATTATTATATTTTCAAGCATGTAATAATACATAGAAATTATAATCCGTATAACACTAGTCTTTGGTCACACATGATGCTTCACATTTTTATTTGTATTTTCGATATGACCAGTTCACTGCCAACCCGGTCAGTGTTGACTGTCGCTAGCGGAGGATTTATCTTCAACAGTTTTCGGCAGTCAAAGACTGAAACTATATTAAATATGCAATAATTTATTCAAATTGCAATTTTTCATTAGAAAAACATATAAAGAGTATCGTGTAAAATATTGTGTTAATATTATATTAACCGAAATTATATACTTTAACTATTACCTATTTAAGTTCCATCGTTTTGTATTTCCGCGCAATTTTAACTCTTTCAGTGATCTACAAATTATTGGTTATAATTGTATGTTTTAAACGCACCTACGACCCAGGTGAAAATCCTAGAGTGGTGCAACATGTTAAAAACATATTTCTCATTTCATTTCATTTTGTAACATAATAACCTATGAGCCAATTTTCAACCTGATCCGTCAAATTCACTTGAACATTAATAGTATAATTTCAAACATTACATACGTAAATATGTTTCAGCTACTAAACAGCAAGAGTAAACTAGAAAGAGACAACATTTTATGTTTACTCAGCTTTGCCAATGAACAACACATAACAAAGGACTGAAACAACTTACAGCAAGGAGTTCAGTTGTTCACCATTACTGAGTCAATGATATTGTTTTGAATATTAAAACAGTTTTAATATAATATTTGTTGTAAAATGGGATTATCGACGTTCATGTTGAATAGCCTTTTGGTCGTCGTGGCCAGTGGTAAGTATTAGAACTTTTGTATGTGTTTTAATAGCATTAAGTTTAACAAATTGGTAATTTTCAAATCATATAAAATTAAGAGTCGTTTCCGCTATCACATTTATTGGATAGTTATATCGTGGTAGTGGTGGAACGTCGTGTTGACCCAGAGTTTAAGGCGCCCGCTTGTCATGTGTGAGGGTTCGAAACTTACCAAGTACCAATGTGACTTTTTGCCAGTTATATGTACTTTCTATGATTATTGAGACACCACTGATATACGGTAAGGGAAAAAGGAAAACATTGTGAGGAAACCTGAACCTTTAATTTCTAATTACGTGGTCTGAAATAGCTAATGCGCCTTAAGCTAGCGTGGTGATTAATGCTCAAACGTTTTCCGTGTGGGAAGATGCCTTTGCAGGGGGCACTTAATATGCTGATGGTGATGACGATATCAAGGTGGCACAACAGTGTCTAAGTCTATACATTAGTTAAAATAAACTTTTTTGGTATATGAAAAGTCTTATACCTTTGGAAAAAAATTAAGGCATACCTAAGCTGAACTCGTGTTCCATACTAATATCAATGTATCATATACAATTTAATTCCTTGGGTATAATCCATAGCATTCAAAATTATATTTTTACATCGCAAAATGTTTACACATTATTGCTTTTTGTATTACCATTTTTTTGTGAATATACGTTACATCCATTAGCAATATACAACTTCGCTTGGGTAAGGATGTCTGAAAACATACAATAAGTACGCGTAGTAAAGTAAGTTTAAAAATCACCATATTTATTGCGTGTGCGCAGTTGAATAAATATGATATTTTAAATCAATAAACAACTCAAAGATGGTTACATTGGCTTATTTTGCAAAGTTTAACAAATAAGCTATAACTTTCAATGAAAAAACAAATTTTATTGAAGCAGAATTGCAGATTACCTATATTATTTTAATAAAGCAATTTTTATAATATAATCTATACTAATATTATAAAAAGGTAAAATTTTTACGTTTGCCTGTTGTATCTATAGAACAGCTGATCGGATTTCTAAAATTCTTTCTATGATAGATAGCTACAACATTCCTGAGTACTATGGGCTAAAACATCACAGTACAACCAATAGGAAGTGAGTACCGGGTGTATCCGCGCAGTAGTAGCTACATAAAATATAAATATTGAACTTTATTTCAATTGGAACAGGTTTTAATTATGGCCACTTCGCTTTTGCTGGCTGGACAGGATGGCCTACAGGAGACAGTCCGTTTGCAGCGTGAGTATTGACCTTCATTTTACGCGGGACCGTCTGAACCCCTACCAAGGCTGCAGACCTCACTAAGATGAAGCCTTGATCAGTAATAATACACAAAGGTTTTCAACGGTAATTCATGTAATCTACAGTTAAAGGAACTAATCAACGGTTGTATTAAAAGTTCGATTTGATTTGTTTTTAATCGATTATTCGATTAGAATCGATATGAATATAAATTAAATCGATTCCAGAATTCGATAGTTGGGGTTTTGGATTAGTTATTATTGTACCTACTTTGTTAGATTTTCTTAATGAATGCAATAATTTGTTGTAATTGTTTCAGATACCAGTCACCGATGGTAAGATGTTAGAAATATTAATATAAGATTAATAAAACCTTAACATTTACATTACTTTACAAGTATACACAAATGTCGCAGGCAATTAATACATTTCCATCATTTACTTCAGGCGTTGTGTATTCAAATAAAAACTGTTGAATTATGTAAATAAATATTTTACAATCAAAATTACAATTAGATCGACACAATTGCTTATTTAAATCTTGTAGGCAAAAAAGGAGTCACACTCAGCGAAGCTTCATAAAAATAAGCCTCCCACATAATAAATGCGGACAATTTCAAGCTAACTGCGCCCTATGTAAATAACGGAATAATATTTGCGTGCAACATGAACATGAAACTCGATAAAAATAGTTCGTCTTTGTAATTATTTCCAGCTGACACAATTACGATTCGGTCCAGTCCCAATACCGACACCTCTTATTACACGGTTTCCCACTATCCCAACACCAACTTTCCTAATGCCTTTCCCAACCATGCCAACGTTCCCATCTGTACAAGACATAGCAAACTCAGTGCCAAAAAGAGGTGGAACTTACACCGGTGTGGCAGTGAGCACACAGGCAGAGGCAAAGCTAAACGGTGATGGTACTGTCATTAAAAAAGGCGGTTCTACTATTGTGATCAATGACGACGGGAAAGTCACAGTGCAGACCTGTAAGTTTCGATCATTTCTTAATTCTTAAAAACAACTGAAAAAAGTACGAAACTTACTAGAAATACAGGGTGTAAAAAGACACTTAACGAAGCCGAAAGCCACGTATTCTACCCATTATTTGGATCATTTTTTTCTTTAAGACCATAGGCAAAGATGCATTTTCTAATTATTATTTTTTCTCGAATCGAATTCTAAGTATTATAACAAAACTTTTTCCAAACTATCATTACCCGAATTTTCGATTATTCTAAATAAATTACGCATTTGAAGTTACGAACAGTAATGTACGTAATAAATAAATCCAGTCCCGCACAAAAAACATCGTGCATCTTAGTAGGATTTTTATTTTACAGAATTGTTTTGTTGTTGCGAAGTAAAACGTCGACCTACGTACTCGTACACATCTAAGCTGTGAACCTACGCACACAATGACCCGAAGCCCGTTTGCTTTACATTGCACGCAATAAAATTATTATTTTTTTGATACCTAAAAATAAAAGTCGTTTCCCAGTGATAATTTTAGCGTAAAGCTACTTAGTTAGAACTGCAGTATGCGTAGTTAACGGCTTCGTTAAGTGTCTTTTTACACCCTGTATATTATACGTCATGCACAATACGCTACGTAACATGCTACGACTCTCGTAGCGCCGTAGCACAAAGCTACGAAATGTTTTGATTCGTTTAAATAAAATTAAAAGAATTTAAAACTGAACTCATTATAAACATTAACTTGCAGCTGGAGATGCACCACCAGTCGTTGGGATCAAGTAGGTTTTCAATATTACACTATCATGAAATTAAAATCACACTTACAAAATCCTTCATGCATCGAACTTGTGTTTGTGATAGCAACAAACATTTTTACCTACATACATATTTCTATTATTATTATCTATTTATATTTCAATATTATCTTGTTTTGTTACAGGAATAAAATAGTAAGCATTATTTAAAAAAGTAAAATACATAAATATATTACAATATAAAACAATATTTTACATGCAATACTAATAAATTGTGTAATTCTTTAAACACAGGCCGATATAAATAACAGTACTTCGAAAGGTGAATACTGAATACTATACATACATACTTATACCTCTTTTCCTTCTTCAAACAAAGACGAACTATAACCGATTTGTTAACTCTTTCTATCTCTATACACAACAACACTGTCTCACTCGCACCGTTCTTTCGAAATTTGAAATTTGAAATTCGTTTTGATTGTTAATTTCTTACTCTGTTTCTTTTTTTCAGAAAATTAATTTTATCATTCCAGAGGTATAAACCATTTGAATACTAGTCGCATCGTATAATTCTATTTAAGTTCTGTACATACATACTCTCTGACTCATTTATATTTTATGTACTTATGTATATAGTTTTTGCAGTATATTATTATCAACTAGCTTCCTACCCGGAACTTCTACCGCAAACCTCAATAAACAATACAAGAAAACGTTATTCTTGATCATTCTTTAAAAAACTGCATAAATATCTGTCATGCAGTTTTAAAAATCTAAATATACACATTTAAGGAGAGATAGAGCGAAGTGCTTAGTTTTAGTTTAGTCTATGTAACACTTAATAACAACATAGATACCTGTTATATTGCTTTTCAGTATCCCGCACTGAGAATTTGTAGGCAAAGAAAAGTAACAAATTATTATAAGACACATACAAAATTAAACAATAATGCATTATATTTCTATTCTTAATAATAACTTCTTCTTTGGTTCTTAAAAAAATACTTCAGCACTGGTTTTATTTGCAGAATAACAAATTTTATAACTGGGATTACATAATTTGTTTGATTTATTTTGTTTGATTATTTTCCTGAGGACACACACACACTTATGCTTTTGATTATTCACATACAAAATGGCAATATCTCTTTTTAATCTAATGGTTATTTGGCTATCTTATTCTGTGATTATTGGGGCGCGCTTGCGGGCGTGGAACTATGTCGTATTTTCTACAAGCTTTTGCCCGCGACTCCATTCGTTTGAAATAGTGACTTCCTGCAGATTTTTGGTTGAAAAACAATTCTAATGTCCTTTCTCGAGTTCCAAACTATATCTGTACCAAATTTACAGAAATCGGTTCAGTAGTTCAGGCGTGTAGAGAAGACAGACAGGCTGACAGAGATACTTTTACATTTATAATATTAGTTTGGATATATTAATTAACTATCGTAAGATATACTCAATTTATCGAAAATAACGACTTACGTGTATAAAGTTATTTTAAGTTCGTCTTTCTTATGTATCGTTTTTTCTTTTTCTCAGATTTTGTTTCTCTGTTAATGAAACTGGATCAAATTCGTGTTAGCATAAATTTTATAAATAAATAAACTGAGAAAAAACATGTATACGATCGAATTGAGCACCTCCCGCCTTTTGGAAGTCGGTTAAAAAGCTCTACTAGTTTCAAGTCAAGGGACTCTTAATTAACGTGCGCGTCGACTTAAACTAGTAGATATTTTCTCAGTTTATTATCTATATAATTAAAGAAAAGGATTTGTCTCAACAATTAACCTAAAAGCACACAATCCTTACTTCACGCATTACTTTACTCACTACTATACTCAACAAAATATCAATTTCAACTGATCACATATTAATTAAAAATTATTTCTTTCCCTCCACAGTTTAAGCCGATTCCACCATTTAAGTTCAAGAGCATGTACGACAGTTTCGATAATTTCAAAAATTTTGGCCGGTTCCATAATTTTCCCAACTTGAAGCCAATCGACCCTCATATGATCAAGACATACGTGCCCAAAAGTGGGGAGATCTTCCAAGGTCATGCCATTGCCAGTAACAGTTACTCATCTAATATCAATGGAAAGATATCACAAGGAGGTCACATAGTCACCATACTGAATGACAATGGAAAAGTTAAAGAAGAAAATATAGCTTTTTAAAAAATAAAAAATGTGTAGTCTTGTATCTTTTATTGTAAATTCAGCTCTATTTTTTGAAGGTTTAAGTTGATTATTGAATGATCATGATCGTACGTAGTGTGTGTTACAATTTTTACAGTCTTGTTCTACTAAATTGTTTTTTTTAATTATAAAAGCATGTTATTCATTACTCATACATAATCATGTTAATAATATTTTTGTATAAGCACACTTTTTTCCATTTTAATGTCATAATAATAAATATTTGGAAACGTTCAAGTGTTATTTATTACAAAACGCAGATAATATGCGATACTTATAGGCTTTTTGTGTGTGTGTACCTGTATTCCTTTTATATGTCGTGGCGTAATAAATGGTTTTTCTTTCTTTCTTTCTTTTCTTTCTATACTGATTGTTTGTTCCAAATAAATAAATAAAAATAACGTGACATATATTCTAGCCTCCAATTAAAAGGGTAAACAGTGCATATTATTATCCGACTTTTGACAGTATCAAGATCTTATAGCGCATAGCGCGTGAGCGTGAAAAACCTTCGCGTTTATAATAAGTACTTGTATTATAAATATGCCATATCATTTATCCACTAAGTCCGCTTTAAGTATCAACTTTAAAGAATAAAAAATAAATGTAATTTTCAAGGTCAGAAATACTAATTTAGTGTTTTAAACATTTAATAAACTATAATACAACAGGCTGTATGTGTACTATTTAGCGCCTTATAATTTTTAAAGAGCAAAACGTAAATATCCCTATTTGCTTTAAATTCCAAGGCACATCGATAGCCTATGATATCCTTTCAAACATTTTTAATTTAAATCAAAGAGGGGTTGTATTGAAATTGCAATGACTCCCACCCGTTCTTTTTTCTGATCTGGGTCGAGCTTCCCCCACCACAACTTGTAAGTACACTACAATCCATATGCATATTTAAGTTTATAATTATAAAGCATATATCCGGCTGGCGATGCTTCGCACAGGTATCCAACCGGTTACAGTTTCCCGATACCCTACTTTTCTCAAATCATCTTTCATAACCTTCAGAACCTTCTACTTACAATAACAATTAACAAAGAAACGCAACAAAATAAGAATTGGCATAATTGGTCCAGGCGTTGTTAAGATATGCGCTTACCAACATAATTTGATAACTACAAAAATATAGGATAGTTTGAAAAGTCCAGGTTTAATAGAGCGCTGCCGCCCTTTGTCTAATTTCTGTTAATATTAGGTGATTGAACCTCGCTGGAGTAGCCACTGCATTGACCTGAATTTAGTCTTGACGAAATCCTGTGACCATCAAGTAGGGAATGCATAAACTAACCTGGATGCAGATCGGGAGTTGACGGGAACTTCACCAACGACGGGGCGTAAGCCGGCCGGCCAGCTATTTCTCGAACCACAGAACTTGCACAGTTTTGTTTGCTGTCACCAAGTCAGGCAGGATTGATCGAACACCAGAAACAGTCAGTGAACCACTAGCGAGGTGTTTTACATATAATATTAATTATTTTTGCGGACACTTCGCGACGACGCTTACACCGCCATATCTTCTTTTTGGATTAGTTTCATTTCCTGCCACTGCGCGCTGCGCTGCGCGCGCATCGATAAATTGTAGGACGCTGTCGCATGTACTTTGAGCCCGGTAATGTTGGCGGTAAATTTAAATTAGGAGAGGAAATATTTTGGATATAGGATTATTAAGTACAGGATCGGTTTGATGTTTATACATTTCCCCCCACTTGAAATTCACTAGGATTTCACAGATTGAAGAATCCCTAAAGAAGCTGTGCTCGAAAATTCTTAAAATAAATGAAATACTTATAATTAAATTAACCTAAAGAACAATACTATTTCAAACAAATAGTATTGTTTACGCGAGAGTATTTTAAAAAATTAATTGAAAGGCAAAGGACAGACCTTGACTACAGGCCGCCTTATAGATTTTCCGTTTGCAGTTCGGAGAGTAACCACTCGAACAATATTGTCGGAACCAGCATGAACTTGCTCTACGCGAGCTAATTTCCAAAACAAGGGCGGAAGATTAGGTTCGTTAATTATTACCAAATCGTCTACTTTTAAGTTAGGCGCATTTAAATACCATTTACTCTTCTGTTGAAGCGTGTGAAGATAATCCCGTTGCCAGACACGCCAAAAATCTTGGGTGATCTTCTTAATCATTTGCCAACGAGAACGAGGACATCGCGTTTCACCTAAAGGTTCTTCAGGTAAAGATACTATAGGGCCTCCCGTTAGAAAATGTCCGGGCGTTAATATATCTGATTCTTGAGGATCAGGAGATGAAGTACAAAGCGGCCGAGAGTTTAAAACGGCTTCTACTTTTGAAAGAATTGTAAAAAACTCTTCTAAGGTAAGAACTTGGGCACCTACAACACGTTTAAGATGATATTTTGTGGACTTGATACCACTCTCAAATATACCTCCGAAGTGAGGTGCGCCTGGAGGGTTAAATTGCCAGTTAATTTGACGGGTGGCTAAACCGTCAGCAATATCAGGGTAATGTTTACGGAGTTCGTCGACAATTTCGTTCAGATACCTATTTGCCCCAACAAAATTTGTCCCGTTATCAGTGACAATTGTGTGACACATTCCTCTGCGAGACACAAATCGGTCTAGAGCAGCAAGGAATGCTTCGGCGCTCAATTCAGTTACGGCTTCCAAGTGAACGGCCTTAGTACTTAAACAGACAAATAGACAAACATATGCCTTATAAGATTTTGCTCCACGGCGACGACTCTCTCTAACTATAAATGGTCCACCGAAATCAATGCCCGTGGTTTGAAAACATCGGGAGGGTTGGACTCGAGCCGCTGGTAACTTACCCATCAAGGGTGTTATGGAAATTGGTCTATTTTTGAAGCAACGGACACATTTTGAAAGTACCGTACGGATAAGGAGTCTTAACCCGACAATCCAGAATTTTCTTTGAATTAAAGATTGTAGGGTACGGGGACCACAATGAAGATATTTCAAATGAAAATGGTCGACAATCAATCGAGAAATAGGACACTGTTTCGGTAAAAGCAGAGGAGTAACGCTGATGGCGATAGCTTCGCTTCATCTATACGTCCCCCCACTCGCATCAAACCATCCTCATCAAGGAATGGAGATAATTTTTGAACTGATTTTTCACATTGTTCATGCTTTTGCACTTGTTGGACTTGCGATGACATGTAGTGATTTTGAGTGAACTTAACTAGTGTCTTCATTGATTTATCGAGCTCGGAACTTGTAAGCGCGGAGAATTTTCGATCTGACTTTGCTGTTTGTAAGTTACTAACGAATCGAATACACCATGCCAAAGTTCTTAGAAGTTTTGTAAAAGAAGAACATCTTAAAGTTAATTTTAAAATTATATTTTCTTCTTGGACGGTGATAAAACTCTCTGTAACTATAGGTTTCAATTCAGGCAGCTCTTCCTTAGCGAGCAATGTCTGCTTGGAAGGCCAAAAGCATGGCAACTTCTGTAACCATGTAGGGCCTTTCCACCATAATGGGTGGCCAGCAAGTTCCGTGCAAGATACACCACGACTGCAGCAGTCGGCCGGATTGTCCTCGGTGGGAACATGATACCAGGACTCCGGACTGACCGAGTCGGTAGCCTGAACTACTCGATTGGCAATATACATTTTCAGTAGATGGGGTGCTGTATTTAACCACGACAAAGTAGTCGTGCTGTCGGAATAAGCTCGGACGGATGTGATTGCAAGTTTTTCCTTAAGGAGCTTATTCATGTGAGAAAGTACTCGTGCCAAGAGTACTGCTGCGCATAGCTCCAGCCTATTTACGGTCGTTGGTTTTATAGGGGCAACACGAGACTTCCCTATCAACAAATTACTAACAGTGGAATGTTCAGTAACCACACAGAGATACACGCAACAACCATATCCCTTCAATGAGCCATCACAAAAGCCCACCAAATGTACCTCCGTAGGATTGGAAGGTACAACAAGCCTAGGAAGAGAGATTTGTTGTAAATCTGACAAATTCGCAGCTATCAAATGCCACCTTTTCGCTAATTCTTTGGGAATAGCTTCATCCCAAGACAAATTAGAGCGCCACATCTCTTGCAATAAAGATTTGGCCGCGAAAACCACTGGGCTAATCCAACCCAAGGGATCATAAATCCGGGCTACTATGGATAGGATGGATCTCTTGGTGAACTGCACATTAAAAGAGTCTGAGAAGCTATACGAGAAGTTGTCATCTGATGGATTCCACCGTATTCCTAATATCTTGACAAACTCATTTCCTGATTCTTCGAAGGATTTAGAAGTTTGACAATGATCCGGAGGAACATCTGACAATAGACTCGGCGTATTGGTACTCCACTTTCGGAGCTCAAAGTGACCTTTTGACAGCAAAGATACAATATCCGACTTTAACTGCCTAGCTTCCTCAAGTGACGAACATCCCGTAGTAATATCATCCATGAACGTTTCTTCGAACAGAACTTCAGATGCACGACTCGAGTATTCAGAGCCGTGGTCTTCCGCAAGTTGACGGAGGGTTCGAATGGCCAAGTAAGGGGAACTACTGACACCATAAGTCACGGTGTTTAGCTCGTATTCACTTAATGGCATGCTAGGGTCGGGACGCCAAAGAATGTGTTGATAACACCTATCTTCGGGTCTGATTAAGATCTGACGGTACATTTTACAAATGTCTGCGGTGAAAACTACCTTATGAAGTCGAAATTTTGTAATTAAATCGATAATGTCAATTTGAAGTTTTGGTCCAACGGAAACGATATTATTTAAGGAAAGGTTGTTATTAGTTTTACAACTCGCGTCGAAAACTACTCTAAGCTGAGTCGTAGAACTCTCTGGACGCAAAACGCAATGATGTGGAATTAAGTACCGATCAGAAGACGAAGTGGCTACGGGCTGCATGTGTCCTAGTTCTTCGTACTGTCTCATGAATTTTTTGTACTCGTTCTTTAAATCTGATTGCTTAGCGAGTCGGTTTTCTAAATTAAGAAAACGAT